AGCTCTTATATTAGGTCATTGGTCCATTTTGAGTTAATAATTTTACATGAAGTGAAGGAGGGGTCTGACTTCATTCTTTTACATGTGGCTGTCCAGTTGCTCAACCTCATTTGTTGAAGAATCTATTCTTTCCCCATTGAGTGGTCTTGGGACCCTTGCTGAAATCAGTTGGCCATAGATACTGGGTTTATTTCTGGATTCTCAGTTCTATTCCAATGGTCTATAGGCCTATCTTTGTTCCGCTACTGTGGTGTTTTGATTACTCTATGTTTTTAGTAAGTTTTGAAACTGGGAAATGGTGAGTCCTCCAACTTTTTCAATATTGTTTTGGCTGTTTGGGGCCCCTTACAATTCTGTATGAATTTGGGGATCCACTTTCCCATTTCTGCAAAAAAGGCCCTTGGAATTTAATAGAGATTGTGTTGAATCTGTAGATCACTTTGGAGAATATTACTGTTGTAACAGTATTACGTGTTCCAAGCCATGAACATGGGATGTCTTTCCTGTTATTTAGGTCTTTAATTTCTTTCAGCAATCTTTTGTGGTTTTTAGTATCAGGTCTTTCATCTCCTTGGTTAAATTTATTTCTAGGTATTTTATTCTTTTGGGATTGATACAAATGGAATTGTTTTCTAAATTTCCTGTTTGGATTAGAAATACAATTGCTTTTTATGTGTTGCTTTTGTACTGTGCAACTTTTCTGAATTTGATGATTAGCTCTATAGTAGTTTAGGATCATATCATCTGCAAGTAGAGTTGGTTTTACTTCCTTTTTTTTTTTACAATTTGGAAGCCTTTATTTCTTTTTCTTACCTAATTGCTCTGGCTAGGTCTTGCTGTACAATGTTGTATAGCAGTGGTGAAAACAAGCATTCTTGTTCCTGAGCTTTGAGGAAAAACTTTCAGTCTTTTTCAGTTGAGTGTGATATTACCTGTGGGTTTTTCATGAATGTCTTTTAAGGTCATTCCCTTCTATTCCTAGTTTCCTGAGTATTTTTATCATGAAAGAGTGTTCAATTTTGTAAAATGATTTTTCTGCCTCTATTGAGATTATCATGTTTTTTTTTCCTTTGTTCTAATGTGGTGTGTTAACACTGATTCATTTTCTTATGTTCAACCACACTTGCATTTCTAGGGTAAATAAATCCCTTTGGTTCATGGTGTGTGCAATCTTTTTAATGTGCTGTTGAATTTGGTTCACTGGTATTTTGTTGAGGACTTTTGCATCTATATTCATAAGAGATATTGGTTGGCAGTTGTCTTTTCTTGTGGTGTCTGTGTCTGGTTTTGGTATGGGTAATGCTGGCCTCAGAGTATGTATTAGGAACTTTTCTGTCCTGTATTTTGGAAGAGCTTGAGTAGGATTGGTGTTCATTCTTCTTGACATATTTGGTAGAATTTACCAGTGAACCTGTCTTGGGCTTTTCCTTTCTGGGAGATTTTTTGACTGAGTCAGTCTCTTTACTTGTATAAATCTGTTGCAGTTTTATATTTCTTCTTCCTTTTTTCTTTTAAGGATTTTATTTATTTATTTGAGAGACAGAGGGAGAGAGCACAGAGGAAGAGGCTCCTGACGCAGGGCTTGATCCCAGGACCCTGGGATCATGACCTGAGCCAAAGGCAGATGCTTAACCGACTGAGCCACCCAGGCGCCCCTTTCTATTTCTTCTTGACTCAATTTAGGTAATTTCAGTGTTGGTAGAAATTTGCCCTATATTTTTTCTCTGTATTTTTCTATATTCTCTAATTTGTTGTATTACAATTATTTCTAGCATTCTGTTATAATCCTTATCATTTCTATAAGGTTGGTAGTAATGTTCATACTTTCATTTCTTTTTTTTCCATACTTTGATTTCTGCTTTTAATTTTTGTATCTATATTTTTGCTTAGTCTACCTAAAAATTGTCACTTTTGTTGATATTTTTTTAAGAACCAGCTTTTGAGGACGCCTGGGTGGCTCAGTCGGTTAAGCATCTGCCTTTGGCTCAGGTCATGATCTTGGGGTCCCGGGATTGAATCCCACACTGGGCTCCTTGCTCAGCAGGGAGCCTGCTTCTCCCTCTGCCTGCCGCTCCCCCTGCTTGTGTGTTCTCTTTCTCTCTCTCTCTCTGGCAAATAAATAAATAAAATATTAAAAAAAAAAAAAAACGGCTTTTGGTTTCATTGGTTACTCTATTGTTTTTGTGTTCTGTATTTCAGTTACCTCTTCTCTGATCTTTATTATTTCCTTCTTCTGACTTTGGGTTTCTTTGATCTTTTTCTGGTTCTATAAGATACAAAGTTAGGCTTTCGATTTGAAATCTTTTTTCTTTTCATGCATTTTTAGTTATAAAATTTGCCTCTGAATATTGCTTCTGCTATATCCCAGAAGTTTTGCTATGTTGTGTTTTTGTTTTCATTTTTCTCACAGTGTTTACTAATTGCTCAAGTGTTTGGTGTTTAGAACACTCACCTGCCTTGGGTTGAGTGAGCAAACATTAATAGGACCTCTTGATTTGCCTTACACTGTAGCTCTGGTTAATAGAATGGGAACGGGATGGTGGGATGATCGTTGTTTTGTGCTGGTCTCAGCTTATCGATAATCAGTATTGGGGCTGCACTGGCCCTTGTGGTTCTTATTATGACTGCAAGACACCATTAGCAATAACCATCAGGAAAGTTTGGGGACAAAGGGTTTATACATCACAGGTCTTAGAGAGCAGTTGGAACACCTGGGGCCACACAGTGGGGTTGTCACTAGGATGGAATCGTGGGCCTAGGGTTCTGCTTTTATTAGGGTGGAGGGTGGAAGCCCAGTGTTTTGTGGGCTCACTGTTGGTGAATTTAAAACATAAGAATAGAGGGGCACCTGGGTGGCTCAGTCGGTTATGCGTTTTGACTGTTGATGTCGGCTCAGGTCATGATCTCAGGGTTATGGGATCAAGCCCTGTGCCGGGGCTCTGAGCTCAGTAGGGCGTCTGCTTCTCTCCCTCTCCCTCTGCCTTACTCCCACTCGCCCATTCCCTTTAAAATAAGTCTTTATTTAAAATGTAAGAATAGGAGTTTAAAGCATGTAAGAATAGGAGTTAAAGAGGAAGAGAAAATATAACCTACCTTACTTGGTCAGGTATCGAAATCAACCAAGATCTCTAAGACAAATTGGGGGGTTGCTGGCTCTTTAGTCGTGTGGTTGGCGGTGTGTTTATTTGAGAGAGTCATCTTGGAGGTGAGTGCCTCGGCCATCGAAGCTTAAAGTAGGCGCTTGCACTACAAAAAGAAAAGCTGGCTGTCAGGGCTTATGCTACAGTAAACAGGGCAAATGCATTTAAATTTGTGATAAAACTAAATGTCTATATTCCAGCAGGTTGTATAGCTAGATAATTTGTTTTCATAGAAGATGTCTTTACAAGATTTCAGAGTATCCAGTGAATATTTCATTACATTGAAGTGTCATACTTAGAAGGGGGAGAAATATTCTTTCAATAGAGTATTAGTATAGTCATAAAAAATACCTGTTTTCTCTGAGGTTTGGTTTCTTGAGCTGGGGAACTCTAGCATTTTATTTTTAAGGCCACTGTATCTGGTGGTTCTCACCTGGGAGTTTTCAGGCTGTTATATTTGATGTGGGAGGTTTTTGCAGAATACGAAATAAAATTAGGTTTGCTGATGAAATGTGTGTCACAGGGTGCCCAGGATCTTAACATACTTCTGTAGTCCCACACAAGGCTAATTTTACTGGTGGTGGGATTTAAGGGTGTTCATTAGGGAAACAGACTTTAATTAATTAATTAATTATCTACTTATTATGAGGAAGGGAAGCAAACTTTTAAAAAATATAATCATTTATTTGAAGGATCACAAACAGGTATTTTATACATAGGTGACGTATATTTTCAAATGTGATAGAATTGGCTGTAGACACTCATTTTTTGGTCACATTACTGTCATAAACTCTTCTGGCGCACAAATGGTAAGAAGTAGCTCCATCCTGGCCTCAGGGACAATTTTGATACTTAAGTACTGATAGGTTGCCAGAGGTTCTGGGGATCATTGTATTGGGGTGAGCCTCTCCTTCCTAACATGATATGTGCCCATGTCCCCAGATACTAAAAATGACACAGAGGTTGTGAGCACTTTTTATTCAGTCCCTCCTTGAACTCTTAAAGGAAAGATAATATGTTATGGGTTGGGAAGGCTTCTTGAGATCTTAGAAGAAAGGTAATGTATTATCATAAAATAGGAAGGGACCTTAGAGATCATTTCATCCCACCTTCTTCGTTTTGTTAGTTCACTTCCCGTTAACGGACAGCCTCTGGCATAATTAGGGCATTGTCATTTCCTGAGAGAGAGGGCAAAAGAAGCTTCCAGCCTCGGGAAAGCGTACAAACAGCAGAGGGTTGGAGGAGCTGAGGTGGTGGGCATAAGGGAATGGCTGTAGGTACGTGAGGTCAAGAGAGTGAGAACGTGAGGGGTTGTGATGCTTGATGAGAAAGTGGTGTCGTCGTGGATGGGTGCTCTCAGCAAATAAGGGCCTCAGGGTGAGCTGGAAGGAGAGGAGCTTTAGTTAGAGTGAGATCTTTGAAGTCAAGAGTTTGAAGAGAAAGCCAAGGTTATGACCATGTTCGTGGGTAGCTGAAGGAGAGTTGAGAGAACAGATCCCTGGAGTAGAAGATTCAAATTCACGGTAGGCCAGGGTGTTGGGTAATTCAGCCACATGGATTTTGAAGTAGTCAAATGGAGTTGGAAAGGAAGATGGCAGGCCCTGTGATGGAGTCTTATTTGAGCAGGGTCATGACCAGGAGCTCATTAGGTAACTATGTATGTGGACAAATTGATGTTCACAGCAGAGCACGCTAGAAGTATATCAGTGAAAAGGTAATGTCAGCAAACGTTTCTCAATATTTAAATCTCACTGTTGGTAAATACAAGCCAAAATTGCAACACATTTGCTACATTCAGACTGCTTCTGGTGAATTCTCACAAAATATGCTAAGGACATCTTATTTTGGACTTTTTCGTAGCTCCTGCCTTCGTTCCTGGCTAGAACAAGACACCTCCTGCCCAACATGCAGAATGTCTCTTAATATTGCTGACAATAACCGGGTCCGGGAGGACCAGCAAGGAGACAACTTGGATGAGAACTTGGTGCCTGTAGCAGCCGCCGAAGGCCGACCTCGCCTGAACCAGCACAATCACTTCTTCCACTTTGATGGTTCGTCTCAACCCCTAAAACCGTACCTGAGGGGCTTTCTCCCCTAAGAGGATGCTGTTTTAACTATAAATTGTCCTGTGTAGGCCAATTATAAATTGGTGTAGGCCAGTTTAATAGAAATATTTCCCTCTTAATTGAAAGTGTTCAGTAGGTATGGATAGCCCTGGGGAGTTACTCTGTGCCGGGCATTTGCTAGATTCTCTGTGAATAGGGGGGTGGGAGTGGGGAGGAGGAGGTGCTCCAGGTATTGACTCAACCATGCCTATGAGGAGCACACTTAATCAGTTTAATAGTTAACCGTCGCTAATTGATGGCATTGGTATAGTACTTAAGCATATAATGCAGGATCATGGAGCAGCCTTTCCCGTGAGTATCAGAAGT